TAGGCATGGTAGAATTAGCTGTGTATTACGTTCAATATAACTAACTGACAATTGTAACAAAAAAATTAAGAAAGGTTTTACTAGTGACAACCTATAACACTATCAGTCTTAACAGTATAATTGTTAGTTTAATCATAAAAGGGACAGAAGATTCACATCACTGAGTAAAGGCACCTCTGTACTGTGTAGCCATATAAAGCAATTTGCAGATGGAGTAGTTTCATTCATGCAACAATATTAATTATATTATTGCCTTGAATGTACATATCTATGCAACTAAAGAGAGAGAGAGGTTAGTGATTAATGTTAATGTACTAGTCACCATAGGCTATACATTGACAGTTGTAGTATTATTGGACAGGATGAATGAGTGTAGTAGCTATGGTTGTATGGTGTTACTAAAGTTGGCAAGACATGTTGCAGTACGATAAGATTGACATGTACATGTTTCTATCACATGTACATATTCAAACAATGGACCATTGTCATCAGTAGCCAGTATCTATATAAAGAGGTACATACTGACTGGAATAGTTATTCATTTTATCATATACTAAAGGTCATATAAGAGACTATACTAGATATCAGCTACTGAATGATGAATACCTTCCAGTGTTTGGTCCTTGTTGCTGCTATTGGATTCATCATCACTACTACTCCTACAGTGTCTCAATTTATAGAAGATGAATGCTACAATAATCTTAACTGCACTCCTCCACGAGTCTCATTCGTAATATAATAATTATGCATTATTAACTATTTATATTCTCTCTTTTATTCCTAGTCTCAAGTCTGCTGCAAAATTGAGGGAATCGTTGCTTATAAGCATTCAACTGGTTATTCTGTTCCTCAATGCAAGCGCTGTCCTTGAGGGATCAAGACCCTGGAAGAAAAGGCACTTGATATATATACTTTAATGGATAAATAAATAATAATATTAACTAATAATCAGAACAGTTATTACTAATATAAGCTAATCATTATTATTGTTTATGTTTGTTAGTCGTAAGACAACAAATGTATACATTGTACATGTAACTTGTTTATGCTCTTTTCTTCCTTATTGCATTACTAATAATGTTAATAATAATAATTATTATTATAATAAGGCCGCAGCAAACAGAGAAAGCTACTTATCAGAAGTAGTATCACTTCTATAGAGTCTAGAGTCTGTTCACATTTACTGGCCCCACAAACTTTGTATAAAAAGTTTCAATACTTATGTATGAGTGGCAGGCACACCATTATACCATTGCACCTAGTCATAAAATGACTCATCACTTAATGTAAAGTGTCAGTTTGTAGTTGAAGTGTAGTAATTACTATCATCACTTCATAGTGTCTATTCACTTCTACTGGCACTAATATTAATTACCTGCACGAGTACAGACTGAATGAACTGTAGCATAAAGATTAATGTATACATGTTTCTATCACATGTACATATTCAAACAATGGACCATTGTCATCAGTAGCCAGTATCTATAATAAAGAGGTACATACTGACTGGAATAGTTATTCATTTTATCATATACTAAAGGTCATATAAGAGACTATACTAGATATCAGCTACTGAATGATGAATACCTTCCAGTGTTTGGTCCTTGTTGCTGCTATTGGATTCATCATTACTACTACTACTACAGTCTCTGGTGATGTTTGTTACTCTGATGTCAACTGCACGGACTCCATGTTCACTGTAATATAAGTCTATCATACATGTAATGGGCCAATCTTTGTTATCATATTACAGTATAATGACAGCAAATATGATAATACAATATCTAATCTCAATTTTTCTGTATTGCAATAGGCGGACACTGACAAGTGTTGCAAATATCCGGAAGTCAAGGCCTTCAAGCCACCTGGAATTCCTCCAATTTGTGTTCGTTGCAAATAGCCACTACCTGGATAAAGTGATGGCTTTGAGAAAAGAAAGCACTGTATATACTTTAATTAATAAATAACACTAACAAAAATACTCGCTAATATCTATGCTTTAATGAACTGTATCATAATAGATTTAATGTACATGTATTTCATGATTGTCCTATTAGATATTTCTCTTCTGCAATCTAACACGTGAAACTTATAATGTAACTGTCCCTCAAGCAATGTAGAGTGTTTCTCTATTATAATTTATAAGAAATAGAGTCTGGCTGTGTGTGACATCCTGTAGATGTATAAAAAATAGTGTCAATTTGTAAATGAAGCAGTTATTACTAGTATCACTATAGAGTCTATTCACTTCTACTGGCACTGAAAACTAATTATACACTAGCAGGAGTAGGTGATAGACCAACTACACTGAGTGCAGACTGTACCATAAAGATTAATATAATGCGTACAATCATTAATGGTAACTGTGCAGTGAAAATTATCTTATCTTAAACATTACTACAAGAATTGCAACAATAAAAATAAAACAATACAATTCTAAATTAATGTCTAAAGTTTCCAAGGTAGTTCATCCCATGTTCTTTCTGTTGCCCCAACCTCTTCTGTGGTCTGTCAATTAAAAAGTAAGTGTATGCAATATAATTATAATTATAATTGTGTATGCGTAGTTCGAATTTTTTGAATTTAAATAGCTCAAACTGTAATTACAAAAAGAGATTGGCTGATAGCCAATTTTTGAGGAACTTAAAATGTGCAAAAATTCTATTTTGATCGGAATCAGCTCAAACTTTCTATGCAACATAAGAACATGTATATGTATCACATAAAGTTATAAAAATCTCTTCCTTTCCACTCTCTTACCGTCTTTATAATCATCGAATTCTCTTTCTTTTCTCAACTTTTCCTGTTCCTCCTCTTCAGTTAGTTCCTTCTCCTCTACTTCTTCGTGTGATGCATGAGCCGCAGTTTTACTAATAAACAAATAAACAAACAAAAAAAATAAATAAATAAACACACTAACTTAGTGTTTTCCTGTTGTTGACGCTCAATTTGTTCCTTGTATGTTTTATCATAAAATTCCTCAACAGTCATAGAAGGGAGGGAGGGGTATCCAGCACCAAACACATTCCCCTAATGGAAAATGATGATAAAAAACCATGGACTATCATTTTTTAAAATGGCCGTAACTCGAAAAATATTAGTCGGAATCGGCTCAAACTTTCTACACAGCATAAGTACATCAATATGTATCAGAAAATGTAATAAAAATTTGGGATGATTTTAGAGTCATTTTTTGGGAAAAACCATGGGCTATAGCCTTGGGTATTTTTCAGAATTTTGGCATTTTCTTAAAATGGCCGTAACTAAAAAAATTGAAGTCAGAATCACCTCAAACTTTCTACACAGCATAAGGACATCAATATGTATCAAAATATGTAATAAAAATTTGAGGTGATTTCGGAGCCATTTTTTGAAAAAACCATGGGCTATAGCCTTGGGTATTTTTCAGATTTTTGGCATTTTCTTAAAATGGCCGTAACTTGAAAAATCAAAATCGGAATCACCTCAAAATTTCTACACAGCATAAGGGCATCAATATGTATCAAAATATGTAATAAAAATTTGGGGTGATTTTGGAGCCATTTTTTGGAAAAAACCATGGACTATAGCCTTGGGTATTTTTCAGAATTTTGGAGTTTTCTTAAAATGGCTGTAACTTGAAAAATTAAAGTCGGAATCAGCTCAAACTTTCTACACAGCATAAGGACATCAATATGTATCAGAAAATGTAATAAAAATTGAGGGTGATTTCGGAGCCATTTTTTGGAAAAAAACCATGGGCTATAGCCTTGGGTATTTTTCAGATTTTTGGAGTTTTCTTAAAATGGCTGTAACTTGAAAAATCAAAGTCGGAATCAGCTCAAACTTTCTACACAGCATAAGGACATCAATATGTATCAGAAAATGTAATAAAAATTGAGGGTGATTTCGGAGCCATTTTTTGGAAAAAAACCATGGACTATGGTTGTTTCTCACCTCTTGTTTTTTCCACCAATGGCGGGCTGGCTCCTGTATGTGATGTAGTTTTTAGACGAATTGCATTACTGACAGCTGACAAACTTAACAAACCGTACAGTTCAGTAATCAATTTCATCAGATGCAAATTATCATTTTCAATTTTAAGATCAACAATTCGGTGTGTAAGGGGTACAAGGAGATCAATATATAGGCCCAGTGACTGTGACATTGATGTAGCAATCTCTGATGCTCGACTTCAATGTCACTAACATATTAATAAAGATTATTATTATTATTTTTATTACTAATTTCACTTATAAACTCATTACTACTGATTTCTGATCCTATTTTCAAATTCATTTTATTATTATTATTATTATTAAAAAAAAAAAAAAAAAAAAATGGACTATAGCCTTGGGTATTTTTCAGAATTTTGGAGTTTTCTTAAAATGGCTGTAACTTGAAAAATTAAAGTCGGAATCAGCTCAAACTTTCTACACAGCATAAGGACATCAATATGTATCAGAAAATGTAATAAAAATTGAGGGTGATTTCGGAGCCATTTTTTGGAAAAAACCATGGGCTATAGCCTTGGGTATTTTTCAGATTTTTGGAGTTTTCTTAAAATGGCCGTAACTTGAATAATCAAAGTCGGAATCAGCTCAAACTTGCTACACAGTATAAGGACATCAATATGTATCAGAAAATGTAATAAAAATTGAGGGTGATTTCGGAGCCATTTTTTGGAAAAAACCATGTGTGACTTCTTAAAATGCTAAAGATTTTAGTCAGAATCCAAATTGGAGGTGATTTACATTACAGGTACTTAATTTTAACCTTTAGCATTTCTCTCGTTATCACTAGTGGCTTCTGTGATGGGCGTGGCTTGGGCGGAGCCTCAGCCACAGGAGGGGTAGCCCCAGTAGGGGGTCTCATTGATAATAATTGTATTTCCTGAGATATGGTTCCAATACAGTCCCTTGATTCATGCTCCCATAACTTAATACTAGTTAGTGTATGGTCACGAAGGATCTCTTCATCAACTGCGTGGGTGGAGGGGGCGGAGTCAATCAATGATGTCACTTCCTGTTTGTTAAAATAAAAATTGCTAATGATTTTAAACAAACATCATTAAAATAGAATCAAAATGCTATACATGTAAATTTTCTAAAAGAATATGTTGCCCTTATTTTAGAGTGCCCACAATAGGAGGTTTGACTGTATTACTTTTAATTTCTTTTCCAGTTCTTTCTTTGATCGATACTTTGCCATTTTCTTGTCTCTCTCAGCCGATAATTGCTGTATTGTTTTCTTATGCTGTACAGCGACTGGTGGAGTGGGTGGAGCTAGTCCTGCCCCTTCTGATGACTCACTAACTACTGGAGGCTAATATAATAATAATAATAATAACAAAGAATATTATAATAATAACAAAGAATATTAATAATAATATTTTCTCTCCCCCCCTCTCTCTCCTACCTCTGTGGTGATGGCATAATCATAGCATCGCTGAAGATATATTATCAAATATTCCTAAAAGCAATTATAATATTAATCATAAAATAAGGCTCATTTTTAACCCCCTCCTCTGTACAAACACACTTTAGATCTCATCAGGTTCGTTAGTCTGTCTCCTTCCATCAGCTGAAACAATAGGTTACCTAATACAGCTGGAACCAACATGAACCTGTGGTATAATGATAAATGAATTTATTACTATTATTATTATTATTATTATTATTATTATTATTATTATTATACATGTATAAGGATATACTACACCTGCCCTGATATAATATACAAAAATATACTAACAATTACTAATACTAATAATACTAGAATACAAAGATATACTAAGATATACTAACTTAAGGTCTGACGTGGCTACTTCTTCAATGTCCTCATTTCTACTGAACAAACCAATTGTTTCTACTCTTTCATGAGCTACTGATAAATCATCAATAGCCTTATTAAGTAATGGCTAGAAGATAAAGAGAGAAAAAGACAGAAAAAGAGAAGGGCCATAATTTTACAATTACATTTCCCTAATTAATAATTCTTTTACTGATAATTTCCTTAATTAATATTACAATAATGCAATGCTATTAGAACTCGACCGTCCGTCATTATATACATTCATACATTGAAATCTTTATCGCTTCTAGTAAGCTCTCCAGTCTCAATCCTCTTCTGTATTTTACTGCCAAAGGACAGCAAATCATTCAGAGAGACATCCGCCATGTTGTATGGGTGTGGTCTACAAGACTACATAGTTATTAAACACGTGCTATCACGTGGTTGCTTGTAATACATTGTCAGTTGTAAAATTATTGGACAGGATGAATGTGTAGTAGCTATGGTTGTATATGATAGTTATTTATCATAATAATCAATTATGATTATTTAATATTTTATTATTTATTTATCAAACTAAATTAATAGTTGCTTTAATGATTTCTATCAGTAAACTTTGCAAACACAAAGAAATTGAAATGCAGCAAAGATTATAAGTATCATAAGAAGTCTTCTTTGTTCCAACTGCTAGCACGTGAAACAAACTGCAGCTATAGTAACATCAGTGTAGGACTTGACATCATCCATTGCACAGCAATTACCTTTGGTCTATTAGTAAAAAAGAATTTTATGCCAATAACTTCAACTTATTGCTATAGCTAATAGCTATACAACTTATATTATTACCCTGGCTGTAAAATTCTTGCAATTGTCATCAGAATAGCATACATAGTTACCAGCAGAGACTGTAGTAGTAGTAGTAATGATGAATCCAATAGCAGCAACAAGGACCAAACACTGGAAGGTATTCATCATTCAGTAGCTGATATCTAGTATAGTCTCTTATATGACCTTTAGTATATGATAAAATGAATAACTATTCCAGTCAGTATGTACCTCTTTATTATAGACACTGGCTACTGATGACAATGGTCCATTGTTTGAATATGTACATGTGATAGAAACATGCACATGTCAATCTTATCGAACTGCAACATGTCTTGCCAACTTTAGTAACACCATACAACCATATCTACTACACTCATTCATCCTGTCCAATAATACTACAACTGTCAATGTATAAGCATATTATACTATTCATGTGGATAATAATAATAATAATGATAAATAATAATTATTATAATAACTTCACAAGGTAGGACAAAAGATAAAGTAAAGAAATAAATACACAGGACCTTGATGGTCTCAGATAGTGAACATAATCAAAGGGACAGATCAAAGTTAAAATAAAACAATTAAAAATGTTTCAGATTTGGTGGTGAAGGATAATGACAGCACCAACAGCGGAGACACAAAAATGGTAGGAACAGGGAACATTGAATATATTGATATACTTATAATTCCTGCCTTGTCATAGTGTAACGATCTAAAGTGTGAATTTGTAGATGGAGTAGAAATTACTATCATCACTATAGAGTCTATTCACTTCTATTGGCACCAATATTAGTCTAAAGTTGGCAAGACATGTTGCAGTTCGATAAGATCGACATGTACATGTTTCTATCACATGTACATATTCAAACAATGGACCATTGTCATCAGTGCTAACAATACTGAGTATTATTAATTATTAATATAAAGTAATTTACTGGAAGAGTGTACACTTTAAATACTAATGATACTCAAAGCTAAAAATACATATAATGCTGATATAACATCAATGTCAACAAGTGTGTCTCATGACATATTATTCGTTTTTAAATTTATCATCAGAAAAATATAGAAATACCTCATAATATTGTCCTGATTATGAACCTGTCCTTATTTCGGAGGTTCATTAATACACATTACTATTGTATTGGGACTGATACTACCTGTCCTCATTATAGAGGCCTCCTTATTTTAGAGTTTTAGAGTGTCCATAATAGCAAGTTTGACTGTATTCTTCTCCAGTTCTTTCTGTCATCAATGGTTTTTTGTCCATCTCAGTCAATAATTAATGTATTGTTTTTTATTTTGTATAGACACTGATGGAGTGAATGTATAGGGAGATAAACCATAGGCTATACATTGACAGTTGTAGTATTATTGGACAGGATGAATGTGTGTAGTAGCTATGGTTGTATGGTGTTACTAAAGTTGGCAAGACATGTTGCAGTACGATAAGATTGACATGTGCATGTTTCTATCACATGTACATATTCAAACAATGGACCATTGTCATCAGTAGCCAGTATCTATAATAAAGAGGTACATACTGACTGGAATAGTTATTCATTCTATCATATACTAAAGGTCATATAAGAGACTATACGAGATATCAGCTACTGAATGATGAATACCTTCCAGTGTTTGGTCCTTGTTGCTGCTATTGGACTCATCATTACTGCAGACACAGTGTCTGCTACAAATGATTGCTACAAAGAAAAAGACTGCCAAGGCAACAAAACTGCTGTAAAACTCTTTATTACTGATTCTAGCAATAATAATTATTGAATGCTGCATGTCTAAGGATTCATGAGATTGTCTTTATTTAGCATGAAAGCATAAAATTAAAGTATTCAATATATATTTAGCATGCTTCACAATACTTCATATATATACATATATTATTTATATCATGTAGGTAAGCGATTTTTGCTGCAAGCTTGCTGGAGTCAAGTCTTACAATGTTGTTGATCCAATTCCATTCTGTTTCAACTGCAAGTAGCTAAGATGATGATGCTCAAAGCAAGACACTAACTGTATATAATAATAATAACAGTGCTCTTGCTAGTAATAGTAATCCATGCAAGAGATCAGTAAATCAATGATACAATTCTTCCAATGATATTTAAAATAATTATTTATAAACGCTAACACTATATCACTGAACAGTATCTCCTACTGGTAAAAGGGAACTTTTCAGTGGCTATACTAAAAATAAAGAGAGAGAGAAGATACTGAATCACATAAAAAAACTAGGACACATGCTATCATGTGGCAATTTTTATAATAGCAAACTTCAATTGTCAGCAATAGAATAAATGATTAAGTGTACAAAAATCATGAATTAAGTTAATATTGTCAATATGAATTCATTTTAGTCAGTCGCTCTCTGATCCATCGTCATCTTCATCATCTTTATCATCATCACCACCTTTTTTTTTCTTTTTCTCTTCCTTTTCTTCCTTCTCTCTCTTCTCTTTTAATTTCTCATTAACTTTCTCCGCCCCTTTACCAACTCCTTTTAAAACTTCCTTTGCCGTGTCATCTCCAACACAATCACCAACTCCAGAGGCTGCACCACCTAAAGCATTTTATCATTATTATTTTATTATTATTATTAGTAATAGTAGACTGTATTGTCATTACTAACCCACTCCAATGGCTATACGTTCTCCTATGCTTGCGTTTGGATCAGCTTCTGCTTGATCGTGTATCATTCCACCACCAACTTTCATCACATCTGAAAACATGAAACAAAAATTAATTGTAGCACATACATCTGTACTATAGCAAGGCTGTAAAAGTTGTCGCAGCCATTTTGAAGGGGGGTGAATCCTTAGTAATGCTACCGCGTTACTAATATTCTACCATGCCTAGTTGCAATTGACCAATCAGATTGCTTGATTTTAGGTTCATAAATAACTTATTTACCACTAGGAGGTTTGATAAGTAATTTCCCTGGTAATAGGAGGTTAATAAGTTTGCCCGGGAGGTTGATAAGTTTGTCCGGGAGGTTAATAAGTTTGCCCAGGGAAATTACTTATTAACCTCCTGCTAAAAATAGGCATGCATGCGATGCTGTTGCCTAGTGTTGCTAAGTAAATAGTTGTTTATTTTAGTACATGGTAGAAGTTGGTTATACAACTCTGTGTCAGTATCTATGGCATTTATCATACCTCGGGCCTACGGCCCTCAGTATATAGATACCTCACCTCGTCAGTTGTATAACCTATACTTATTTATTGATTTTAAATACACATGCAATTCTAAATCATTATAATAACTACTACATGCAACCCCAATAGTATACAAGTACAGTATATAGTAGTAGTTATAGAATTACCTCCAACTATTTCATTATCAACTAGTCCACTTGTCTCCTTTAGTCCAGTCCCTAGTGCCATACCAGCTCTTTGGGTTAGGGTAGTGTCATCATCAGCTTCAGCTTGCTCCTTTACTATAGCACAACCAGCACTCACGTACTGATTATCAACATTGTCACCAATAATACCAGCTCCATCACCAACTGCAATATAATACATAGTGGTAAATATAGGTAACAATAGCTAGAAACTTTTGCAGCCCAGAATGTCCTGATATACACATAAGCAAAATGGTAGGCTAAGGCAAAATAAACTCTGCAAATTTAGAGGAATCCTGCTGGCTGTTAGAAAAATTCTGGGCCACAGAAATTTCTAGGGATAAGATTTCCTGGAGGTTTAAGATTAGCATGTAATGGTAATGCTTTCAGTTTCAGTTATGATATCAGCAACATGCTTGATAAATACTGGGAATACATGTAGAAGTATAAAATACATGCATATGTACTAGAAAATGTATAGAAACTGTGAATATTCTCCTAGAGATATTTTGATGAAAGTCCTGCACTATATAGTACAGGGACTTTGACCCAATTTTTGAGCAACTTTAAAGAATCATAAAAAATCCAAACTTGATCAGAATCAGTTCAAACTTTCTACACAACATAAGTACATGTATATGTATCAGATAAAACTATAAAAATGGAAAATTCTCACCTTTTTATTTTTGGCAAAATTTGACCAAAATCCCTGTACTATAGTTGTACAGGGACTTTGACCTGATTTTTGAGCAACTTTAAAAATTCGTAAAAAATCCAAACTTGATTTGAATCAGTTCAAACTTTCTACGTAACATAAGTACATGTATATGTATCAGATAGAACTATAAAAATGGAAAATTCTCACCTTTCTATTTTTGGCAAAATTTGACCAAAATCCCTGTACTATAGTACAGGGACTTTGACCTGATTTTTGAGTAACTTAATTTTGATTATGAACACTCCTAAACTACTCAACTCAATTGCTTGTTGTTCTTACCAGCCATTTTAGCTCTATCAGCAAGACTAGTGTTATGATCAGCCTCTGCCTGGTCCTGGACTGCATCAGCTGCTCCTTCTATTATATTTGCCGTCTGTTCGTCAACCAGTCCAGAGTCTTTCACAAATTTTTTGACAATTCCAGCTCCAAATTTAGCGACACCTCGGATCATTTTTGAAACTGCCGGTTCCGGAAGACCCTCACTATCATTCTCCCAGTCTGACGTGAATTCACCGTGCTAATATAATAATAAAATACAATGAATATAAATAAATGAAGGTGCACGTTATAGAGAAGGTCAAATTAAGAGAGGCTATAATCTATAGATTCTCCTCCTGTTATTGTAGCAATACAATTATTCATTACTAGTGAAGCCATAGCTACTAGTGCTGGCGGTGGAGGGGATTCACTGGTTACCCACACATTAAAAACATTTTATTCATTATTTGCAGCTGTACATACCTCATCTATGATTGAAGAGAGCTCTTCTTTCCACTTTCTAAGGAGAGAGAGAGAAGAGAGAGAGGGGGAGAGAGAGAAGAGAGGGAGAGAAAGAGAGCTCATGGATCATTAAATGATGTAGGTGTCACATTTGATTTCATTGCTGACACAAGTGTTAAGGTCACAGTGTACTAGGTTCACATTACTGATATCACCATTAATATCACAAACTGAAAGGTAATGGCCTTTATCATTTAATACAAGAAACATGCAACTGTACATGCTGACCATAAAGATAGTGCTACCATCATATGCTATATAGTATCAATTCCATATTAATAATAAAATGATAATAAGTAAAATAACTAAGTTACTATTGTATCTATCATAGAATTTTACAGTATTTATAAGCAATGTAATTGGTTCCAATGGTCCATAAAATATTATACTCAGGGGGGGGGGGAATATATCAATTGTGCTTAATTCATGCCTGGAGTACAGCTGCTTGCTTGCATAGACCAAATTAAAGTATACAAGATAAAGTTTGGCCTTTAGATGTACCAGACAAAATTCCCTACTGAATTTTGGAGGGAGACAATTCAAAGGAATGATCATTTTGATAGCCATTCACCAAAAATGAAACCGGCCATATTGAACCGTTATGCGCATGCTCAGTCGCATATGGCCACAAATTGACCAAATTAAAACCAGCCATTCACCAAAAACTTAGCTATTCACCAAAATTCTCTTCCAGTTGTACTTTAAATGGTAAATGGGTATCATCAATGTCCACACCAGACAACAGTCTACAGCACTATAGTTTATACATTCATTCATAATGACTTACTTGACTTCTTTAGGATCACTGCCATAAAAATAATAAGTCCTTCCAGTGACTGCCAGTCCAAATGCTAGCCCCTTCTTAGCAGCATCAGGCCACTCCACACCACTGGTCTCATCCTTGGTCCTCACACCACGGCCTTCAGTGAGATCAACTGTTCCTTTAGGGTCAGTGTCACCTTCTTTCTTGTAATACCTGAGGCTGGTTCCTTCTAGAACAAAGTGACGCTTCTTCCAAGTTCTGTAGACACCACCTACAGGCCAAGAAGATAAAGAAAGCAGAGTCAATCTTGTAGCTACCTTCTTTTGTGAGAAAGCCAGACATGATGATGTCCTCGTTTTTTATTTGATCTTCTGAGCAGGGGGCTTCTTCTACGCTTTCTGATACTGTGGAAAAGTCTGCTGTAGCCATGATTATGATGATGAAGAAAACGTGGTAGAGCAACAACCAACACAACAACCCTTAACCGCGCTGCATGCAGTAGAAGTGAGGGGAGGGGCTGGCCACTAACTCCCACCACTCATTACTTCACACGTGCTACCACGTGGTCAAGCCACGCTGCATGTGGATGCAGCTCTCTATGATGCAGCTGCAGCTTTCTTCTTCAAAATGGTGGATAAAGAACTTAAAAGAGTAAACGACCTAATTGAAGAGGATGAAGAGTATGGAGATTATGACACTAGTACAGATGATGAGGACAATCAGGTAACTAAGTATCGGGAAGGACTAAAGGAAGGAGTAATGTCACACCCGGCCAGTCTTCAGTTACAGTGTCTAATGTACATAGCAGGACACATTAAGATTGAGCCTCCTCGTCCTTACACTATCAAGGAGTCCACTGGTGCCGTATTGTATCTACCTGCTAGTTGCATGGCCTTGCTTCCTCACTTTTTTCGTATTCGATTGCTGTGTCTGTTACCAGCTGTTGATGTAGCTAAGCTAGAGGGTACTCCAGTTACTGCTGGTATATCAATGGATGAGATATGGGAATACATATTTAATGAGAGGCTACCACTTCATTATATAAAGCAGATTAGAAAAGATGGTATACCTGGTATCAACACAGTGGAGGAGCTAATGAGTAAAGGGGTTGAATGCGTCTCTTGGAAAGATGCCTATTTTAATGCTGTGTTTGAAATATCCCAGTATTATTGCAAGGATGAATACCTTCAATTCTTTAAGTGTGCTGCCTGTTTGCATGATCATATCATACAAGACCTATTTTATGGTATGGGCACATTCAATAGTGATCCATCCAGCACTGATATCTACCGGTGTTTCAAGGAAGGCTCCACTTACAGTATTCATGGTGTAGCTCACTGCACACTTGGATGCCCTCGTCTCACTCCAGATAGATATACCAGCATGTACCCAGACCCTTCCGATAGTATTTTGTGTGCATTTTACATGTCACTATTGGATGTTATCAAGGAAATGGTTGATTGCAATGTGTCCCTTAAACACTTACACATATCAGGCCATCTTTTTGACAGAAATGACAGCCTCAATCTTTTTGATTATTTAAAGAAAATGCTGACGTCAGTTGAAGCCATCACCATACATTTCCATGACAAGAACGAATTCATAATGAAGATTTATGATGTCCTATTTGTGCAGAATACGTGCTCGATCAAATCTGTATCGTTACGTGATTCAGAATTTGAAATTGTTTTTCCTTACCTATTGCAGTCTTGTTATCTCAAACAGATCGAGCTAGAAGTTGGACTTGATGATTGTAACTCTTATAAAGTCAAAGCGAAGATGTCTTCACATTTTCTTTATCCTCCAGGCCGGCAGCCAGACCAATCTATATCTCATTCAATAATGGAGATATTACAGCATTGTCAGGACCTAGAGAAGCTATCACTTCACATTGATTGTTGTGATATCCATGCTCAGCTATTGTATAGTCAACTCACCCAGTGTGTTGCTGATTTACTCTTAAGACCTACCTTTAAAGAGCTAGTTTTTTCATCAAGTATTCAAGTCTCGTTTGATTTTCTATTGCTGTTGCTTTGTAATTTTTTCTCTTCGCCATACCCTGTTAGTATGAAGCTATCTTTTAAGTGTCTAGATATTCCACTATACACTGACCCAGTAATTGTTGTCAATCATGAACAAGAAGGTAACAAGTCACTGGATCTAGCTAATTGTTTTCTCTCTCGTAATCTCTCATCTTTACTTCCTCGTAATTTAGTTCTTGGATCTCTCAAAATATCTCAGTGTTCATATTCAGCGGTTTGTGTTCTCTCTTCATTTGCTAGCCTGGACTCTATTACTGTCAAGAGTTTGTCTGTAAAACGTGCTCATTCCACCAGCGGTGAAATCTCATCTAGTATTTCTTCATTACTTAATATCATTCATGACACTCAGCATTGTGATATCAGTTATGATGATGTCACAAGTTAATGCATTTAATCTTCAGATGCATATCTTGAAACTCATGATACTGTAACTTATTAATTTAATTACAAGTAATACAATTATTGGTTGTTTGGCTCATAACATATTGATTGATTAAAATTCATTATTCATTCATTCATTATTATTATTATTGGTTTATTTGCATGGGTAATTTGCGCCTACTCTACAGCTGGGAAGGAAATAACAAGAGGAGGCTCCATTTTACAGTCCCTCTCTCTTTCTCAGCTCTGCTTCCTCCAGTCTCCTTTATCTGCTGTAGCCATGATGAAGAAGAAAAAGTGATAGAGCAACTGGTGCAGTAGAGGGGAGGGGCTGGCCACTACCTCCGCTCCCACCACTCATTACACACGTGCTACCACGTGGTTAAGCCAAGCTAAAAATGGCGGATGAAGAACTTGAAAGAGCAAATGAGGCTCCTAACCCTATTGAAGAGGATGAAGAGTATGAGGATTATGACAGCAGTACAGACGATGATGATGATTTGGTAACTAAGTATTGGGAAGGACTAAAGGAAGGAGTAATGTCACACCCGGCCAGTCTTCAGTTACAGTGTCTAATGTACATAGCAGGACACATTAAGATTGAGCCTCCTCGTCCTTACACTATCAAGGAGTCCACTGGTGCCGTATTGTATCTGCCTGCTAGTTGCATGGCCTTGCTTCCTCACTTTTTTCGTATTCGATTGCTGTGTCTGTTACCAGCTGTTGATGTAGCTAAGCTAGAGGGTACTCCAGTTACTGCTGGTATATCAATGGATGAGATATGGGAGTACATATTTAATGAGAGACTACCACTCCGTTACATGAAGCAGATTAGAAAAGATGGTATACCTGGTATCAACACAGTGGAGGAGCTAATGAGTAAAGGGATTGAATGCGTCACTTGGAAAGATGCCTATTTTAATGCTGTGTTTGAAATATCCCAGTATTATTGCAATGATCAATACCTCCAATTCTTTAAGTGTGTTGCCTGTTTACATGATCATATCATACAAGACCTACTTTATGGTATGGGCACATTCAATAGTAGCCCATCTAGCACTGATATCTACCAATGTTTCAAGGAAGGCTTCACTTACAGTATTCATGGTGTAGCTCGCTGCACACTCGGATGCCCTCGTCTCACTCCAGATAGATATACCAGCATGTACCCTGATCCTTCCAATAGTATTTTGTGTGCATTTTACTACATGTCACTATTGGACGTTATCAAGGAAATGGTCGATTGCAATGTGTCCCTTAAACACTTACACATAACAAACTATCTCTTTGAAGAAAACTATGAACTCAAGAGTCAATATCTCTTTGACTATTTAAAAAAATTGCTGACTTCGGTTGAAGCCATCTCCATAGATGGTCGTGACGAGAATGAATTCATAAGGAAAATATATGATATCATATTTGTACAGAATAAGTGCTCGGTCAAATTTGTATCGTTACACGATTTAGAATTTGAAATTGCTCTTCCTTATCTATTGCAGTGTAATCTCAAACAGATCGAGCTAAAAGTTGGACTTGATGATTTTAACTCGTATAGAGTCAAAGCAAAGACGTCTTCACATTTTCTTCGTCCTCCAGGCCAACAGCCAGACCAATCTATATCTCATTCAGTAATGGAGATATTACAGCATTGTCAGGACCTAGAGAAACTATCACTTCACATTGATTGTTGTGATGTACATGCTCAGTTATTGCACAGTCAGCTCACCCAGTGTGTTGCTGATTTACTCTTAAGACCTGCCTTTAAAGAGCTAGTTTTTTTGTCAAGTATTGAAGTCTCGTTTGATGTTCTATTGCCATTGCTTTGTAATTTTTTCTCTTCGCCATACCCTGTTAGTATGAAACTATCTCTTAAGTGTCTAGATATTCCACTATACACTGACCCAGTAATTGTTGTCAATCATGAACAAGAAGCTAACAAGGCACTGGATCTAACTAATTGTTCTCTCTCTCATAATCTCTCATCTCTGCTTCCTCGTAATTTAGTCCTTGGATCTCTCAAAATATCTGGTTCTTCATATTCAGTTGGTGTTCTCTCTTCATTTGCTAGCCTGGACTCTATTACTGTCAAGGGTTTATCTATAGAAGATACACATTCCGCCAGTGATGAAATCTCATCTAGTATTTCTTTGTTACTTCAAATCATTCATGGCACTCAGGACCATCAGTTGTCATGATTTCAGAAGTTAATGCATTTAATCTTCGGATGCAAGACATAAAACTCATGGTGTTGTTACTCATATTTTAATTATAAGTATTATCATTGTTTTATAGGCTCATAATTATTATCATTATTGATTAATTAAAATTCATTACTCATTGTTATTATTATTGGTTTATTGCGCGGGAAATTCGCGCCCACTCTACAGCTGGGAAGGAATAGCAAGAGGAGCTCCATTTTACAGTCCCCCCTCTCTCTGTCTCAGCTCTGCTTTCTCCAGTCTTCTCTATCTTATACTTGCTCTAGCTTGCAAGCAGGCTCGCTCCAGGGTACGAGCCCCACCCGCCTCACTGCTAAACCACAACAAACAAGCTGTGAGCCAACGCCTCCTGAGTCCAAAGTATATAAATACAACTTTTACAAGCTCCTGTTCTCTGTTCCCCTGAAGTGCTCTCCACTTGGAAGATCTGATAGCGAGAACCTGGTTCTTTAGCTGCTGCAAAGGAGAAAGATCTAATCACTGATAGCTACACTGTGAGAGTGGGACCTTCATTGCTTGCCGGGAGGGAGGAGAGAGTAGAGTGTTTAGACTTTTTCCAGCTGATGTTGCCTTAAAATTTGCTAAAGTCAGCAAATGTCCCTCTTATCTGTTTTTATAGAAAAGGAAAAGCCGAGAGAGCAATGTCCTCATCACCAGTAGGTAATACCAGTTCTGCTCACCAAGAAGGAGAAGGTTTGTCTGAGACAGCAGCATCACCCCGCGGAGCTGCCTCTCTTACCGCCATACCTTCTGAGAGTGTGAGCATTGAAGGAGCTGTTACTAAAGAAGAAGAGACTCCTGTAGCTAAAGAAGGTGGACATGTTAAGGAAGAAACAACTGCAGCTAATGGAGGGGAAGCAGCAATAGAGGAGGAGGAGGATGATAAAGATGATGGTGCGGTCCAGCCCCAGGTTAGTAGTAAGTGTATGATGGCGCTCTACCTTCATACTATTGTACATCTTGCCTGATACTTGTTGCAGCATATTCTCTACATGTAGCTACATCTGCCTTTCTCTCTCCTCTTGTTCTATATGTCCTACATATGCTTTGTAGAATGTCCTACATATGCTTTGTAGAAAGTCTTTACTACTCGCTCTCTCTCTCTCTTTCTTCTCTCTTTCCTTCTCCTTTATTCATAACAGAGTCCTACTAGCACAGAGTCTTCTTCCAGTAATATCACTAGCAGCATCACTAGTCACAGCAGCTCCTCAAGCTTCAGCAATGCTAGCAATTCAATCAAAGTTCCCAAGGTAACCTCTCTCCCCATCCCCTCCCTCTCTCCTTCCCCCCTCTCTCTCTTACTCATAATAATGACTGTCTTTCTATGTTAATGGCCTGTTATAATTATGTTAAATGTTGTCATCAATGGCCTCCACTGTACAATCAATATTTCACACTCTCCCTTTGTTTATCCACTAATGAAAGTGTTTTAATGTGACACAGAAATGTGTTGTCCATCACCTAAGCCCCTGCATACAAGTACACCATATAATAGATCCATTAATGTTATCAAGGAATGTGCATGTACATTCGTGAGCATTGAACAGTAGGTACTTAATCTACCATACATGTACATGTACATGTATAATAAATACCTGTATGTTCATATCAATTATATTATAGTGCTGGCTCCTTTGAATGTATTATTAAATAATTCTCCTTTAAATGTATTAATTATTAATGTACATATACATGCAATAAGTACTTTGTATTATTCTCTCTTTTTTGTATTATTTTGTAGCGGGTTAGGGCGCCCTATTCCAAGCCGTTACATGTTCCAGTACCCAGTCCATCACTGCCAATGATGTTTCACTCAATGCCTACACTACAACCTCAATATATTGCCCCTAATGTAAGGAGAGAGGGAGGGGAGAGAGGGAGAGAGAAAGAGAGATCAAGTTAAAAATGGTAATATACATGTAATGACTTATGAGAGAATACATACTAATACTATATAGATAGTTGTACATTGAAGAAGCAAATATATGCATCAACCCTAATGTAATGTACATGTACTTTGTTGCTGGAGGGAGGGGGAGAGAGAGAGGGAGGGAGGGGTACTCTGTTTAGTGTTAAACTTCATCACAAAGGTTAGCTTCCTATAATCACAATACTTCTCATTTTGAGCATCTTTGATGTGTAAAATGCAGTAAATCTCTTCTGTATATACATGTACCTGTACACACACACACACACACACACACACACACACACACACACGTACTTGTGTATGTACATGTACATGTACGTCATAATATAATGTACATATATAAGTAGATACTAATTGGTAATTTGGTGTTATAAATTGACAGTAACTTTAACTTACGTATTATTATCTATGTGAGTGTGTGCTACTTCTTTATGACCTCTCTCTCTCACACAGCCTTACAATTATTATTATCAGCAGCAAACGCCTGCTCTAGCTGTCCCTGGATTATTCAATGGAGGGGTGGGGCCCCTACCTATCCATGAACTACCAGAAGATGACGAGCCACCAAAGAGTACCTCCAATCTTTACATACGAGGACTCTCTGATAACTGTACTGATGAAGACCTCCGTAAAATGTGTGAGAAGTGAGTTCTTTTTAACATTAATTTTATTTGTAAATTATTACGTTGTAAGTACGTTTCAATCTACATGTACATGTTCACAATCTTCAGTATGTTCTAATTGTGTTTCAACCTTAAACTAGGTATGGGACTATCAATAGTACTAAGAGTATACTCGATAAGAAGACGGGACAGTGCAAAGGTAAGCTAAATATATCAACGGTCACTGCTTTTGTACTGGAATACTGTGTGTACATGAACATTAAACATTTTGTGCCTTGTTACTTTTATGTACCTTTGTCACTCTCTTTTTCTCTTTCCCCCTCTCTCTCTCCCCCTCTCTCTCTCTCTTTCTCTCTCTCTCTCTCTTTCTCTCTCTCTCTCTCTTTCTCTCTCTCTCTTTCTCTCTCCCTCTTTCTCCCCTCTCTCTCTCTCAGGTTATGGTTTTGTTGATTTCTCTGAAGAAGCTGATGCCTTGAAGGCTCTTGAGTCATTACAAGCTATTGGTACTGATGTCCAGTTTGCAAGAGTAAGAAGCCACATTATAGTCTATAAGTATTATAATTATTATTGTGTGACATGAATCTTTGTATATGTATTCCAGTACACTTTTCATTACACTGGGTCTTGTATCTTTCACAATATTCCTTGCCCCCCTGTGGGGTTTCAAACACAAAGCCCCCTCTACTCATCCTCCCTCATCTTGACAAGTCAGAGCCTCAAGTGATGTACATTTAAATTGTTTTACCATCAACAGTGTCCTTCACATCACATTCTTGTATACACAAGTGACCACTGGACACTAATGAATACAGTTTAGTCAATGCTGTGGTTTCTAGTCCTGGGAGACAGAGCAGTCTATAGTTAGTTCATGGTGGGTTTCTTGCAAGCTTTTAAAATATTCACAGTGTCCTGTGGTAGCACAATCTATCTGAGGTTGCTGCAAGCCCACCCCCTCCCACCCTTTGGTCTAAGAGGCAGGCTAATTAACTGCTTTCCATTGACCTTAGCTCATAATGTTATAAGATACAAGTGGATTCCAGTCAGTCAGTCAGTGTTTATATGTGTACAACTACTTCCAACTACTTAACCTTACCACACTCTTGTTCTTGCGGGTTTTTAGCAATTTTAAGGACTAACCACTAAGTGTGTAGCTTTATCTCTATCACTAGATGTTATCATCATAATACTTTATATATTAGGCACTTCATGTACATGTATATAACTGAGTTTGTTCCAATAAAAACTGGAATAACTTTTTATAGGAATGTGGGATAAGGATGAGACCTTCACAGGTTCTTAGTCGCCCAATGCCATCACAGGATCTCAGGTCTTGGGTCTATCGGCCGTTGGGAACTCTGAGAACTGGGTTCTCCCTATAAACCCAATGGCATACCAAAGCTAACCGCAATATGACATTCTATGACGTCATAGTTTATATAAGTACTAGATCTAGATTTAGGTGTTCGACTACATGTGTTTAATTGCGATTGGGTACCCAAATCTTGTGTAAAGTCTTATAAAGCAAGTCTTTATGATAATGGTGGCTTGTATGAAGACTAGCAGACTCCAGTAGCTATTGTACTGCTTATCAGTAGGAGCAAAGCTGCTTTAACAGTGAAACAACACAGCCGTAAATACTGACCATGCTTCTCAGCCTATGAATATCATTAGCGAGATGGATGCATTTAAAAAATTCCACTAAACTGATTCGACTTACACTCAAAAATCAGTTGGAGCATAGTAACTGTACAATTTTTGAATGTTGTTATGGTTACATTAATTGTTACTATTTTTAGCGCCAAGAAGAAGACCCCACCAACCTCTACCTCTCTAACCTCCCCAAGTACTACTCTGAAAAGGTACACTGTACTAATAATAGAAACGATTCTATTTATAGTAACGAATGTACATGCAACAGACAATCATATACATTGAGACTTAAATATTATAATTACTATAGAGGATATGCGTGCTAAGTATATTCATTGCAAAATAAATGTATTCATTGCATACCGTAATAACTTTTAAGAAAAAAATTAGTTCGTTGGATGTCAACTTTCCATTGGCAGCAATGGAGAAAAGATAGAAAAAGGCTTGGTACCAGAAAACTGCTCTGTATTTCTTGATAGCAATCTTTCAGGTGACTACTAGACCCCATTAGATCCTCAGGATGCTTTCTAAGCTTCCGAAAAAGGCCTCAAGAAGGTAGCAAGGCAAGAAAATGTGTTTTCCCCCATTGAACTCTTAATAAACTTGACGTCCAACATGGCGGCCAATTTACTGTGTGGGTTGGATATACGGTACTTAAAAGCTATGAATATACTTAGCACGCATATCCTCTATTGGTTTGCTATTATTGTTAGGACCTAGAGAAGCTCCTTTCTCCTTATGGTAGGATCATATCAACTCGTGTACTGAGGGAACCCAGTGGGTACAGTCGTGGAGTAGGGTTTGTGAGGTATAGAGCATCATCTATTGATTGTATGTGTGTCCATTATAAATGTGTATTTGAACTGTAGTAGTTTGAGTATGTATTTATTATGTACATGTACTTTAATCTGTTAAAATATGATCTCTCCTACCTTTTCTCTCTCTCTTTTCCTTTCTCTCTCCTCCCCCTCCCTCTCTCCCTCCCTCTCTCCCCTTAGGTTGGATTCAAGAGAGAACTGTGAGAAGGCCAGGGAGGCACTAAACAATACCATATTCCCAGGTATCAGTGTAAATCAGTCAGTGACAGTCACTATACACTTTGTGATCATACACATGTGTCATGCAGCCATCATGAGAGTGTGAATATCACCATATTGTTCAGTGAAGTATGTCTCCTTCCTGTTACATTATAAGTATTACTGTATTATTGTTATTATTATTATTATTGTGTTGTGTGACCTTAGTGTACTGTGTAATTATATTTCTGTGTGGGTTTCTCCCTTACTATATCACATGTTGTAGGACAATAGGCTTTGATTAATGCTACAGACTAGAATCCCCTTCAGTTTGTCTCCTGTTTCCTACATAGACAGTGTATTTATAGATTATATACTGCTGTGTATCAGTGATATCATGTTTATGATGATGTATTTGGTAGTACATGTACATGTACATGTAATGTGTGAGAGAGAGAGAGAATTCTGCAGGAATAGACACACATTATATATTGTACAGTAGATACCACTATAACTAACACAGCTAGTATCTTTGCATGTTAATCAATGACAACTACAGTTCATGTATAGTTGCTACATGTACAGTATTACATGTACATGTAGTCTGCCCAATGCCCAGTATGGTAGTACCTTTTAACCATCAGAACTACTTAGGAGTGTCTGGATTGCAGTATAGCTAGTCTCTTCACTGTTCTAAAGCATCATTAAGTTATATTCATTGTAAACTGAACCTCTTCTTGCTACCTTTAATTACAATTAGTGTCTACATTGTAGATGTACATATACATACATGTACATGTACTAAAACATGTTTCTGTTGCCTTGTACTATTATTTTAATTTTAACATGATGGCATGATTGCTTGTATAGGACATGTGTGAATGGTGTTAATATTTAATTCAATATTATTATTATAGTAGTAGTAGGGAATTAATTTATTGTCTAGTGTCCACTTTAATTTACAATGGAGGTGCTCCTGATCCATTCTTAATTAAGTATACACGCATACATGTACATGTTCTTGTAATTATTGTAGCTCTTTCATTCAGGAGTATTTTATCGTCCCTAGTATTATGGTGTATGGCTTTGTCTAGTGATAAAAAACCTCCTAGCTCCATTGGAGCAGGTGCTTATTCCAGTATCATTACTAGTATAGTCTTTAATCACTACTCATCACTATATAGACCTAGAAATGATGGCACCCCTGGAGTGCTACCAGTGGGTTCATGTATCATGTAGATTGAGCCTATAGTCTTTTCCTTGTTATCATCAAGACTATACTCTTGTTATTATAATACTTTCAATTATTATTGATATTGCTGTACCTCACTGCTGAATGATGAATAGTTACTACATTGCCATACCTAGAGTTGATGATATACTTGTACTTATAGTTCCTGTATGACCTTCTTGTTTCATTGCTTAGGAACTGACTTGGAGCTGAACATTAAGTTTGCTGACAGTGGCAATTATAAAAGAAAAAGTATTAGACTAACTTATACTGAAACTACAATGACTGATATAGATTGTATATGCATGTACTATTATACATTAAATAACCTATAATAGTAATTATCATTATTATTATTATTTACCTTTAGTTGCTTACTGGAAGGAGACTGAAGCCAATGCTTGGATGAGGGACTATCTACCTCCTGGATCAGAGGTATATAGCTACTCCAGTTTGTGTTCTCTATAGCTCTCACTGAGCTCCTTTCATGCTAGATTGATAAGATTATCTGCCAGTCACTCCCTGCATGGACTTCTTTATTGTGCAATACTGCAAGATCTGCATTATTAATTTATCAGCTCTCTCCCTCCCTCTCTCTCTCTTTGTCTCTCTTTCTTCCTCTCTCTCTTCCTATAGTATGTATATGATCAGTCCCCCACTCAGTCTCTTCATCCTGCTACTGTACTGTCACAGAATAAGTGAGTTCACTGTATCATTACCATAACTGAGACTATTATGAGTGTATGCACTGTACATTCACTTATGTATTAATGCAGTTTTAATTGATTTGCAATCAGTTTTAATGGTAATTGATGTACTAGTAATTGCTGTATAGACTGCCATTGTCTGTGGTAGTTTTGATAATATCCTATAACTCTCATTGTGGCATGCATCCATTAATAATTAGCACTAGCCATTAATTTTAAGTGTTAAGTATGGACCATTGGATGCTGGTATATCATTAGATAACTGTACAGTGTCTTGATTAATAGTATAATAATAGTCTATAGGAGTGTGATGTAGTCTCTAAGCTCTTATTGCTATTATTACACTGTATCATTGTATTCTGATGTACGTTAGGCCATGGCCCATGGTTTTTTCCAAAAAAACAGCTCTGATATCACTCCGAATTTTTATTACATTCTTTGATGCATATTGATGTACTTATCCTGTGTAGAAAGCTTGAGCTGATTCTGACTTCAAATTTTTGAGTTATGGCCATTTTTAGAAAAAGCCAAAATTCTGAAAATTGCCCTGTACTATAGCCCATGGTTTTTTTTTCCAAAAAATGGCTCCAAAATCACACTAAATTTTTATTATATTTTCTGATACATATTGATGTCCTTATGCTATGTAGAAAGTTTGAGCTGATTCCGACTTCAGTTTTTCAAGTTACGGCCATTTTAAGAAAACGCCAAAATTCTGGACAATACCCAAGGCTATAGCCCATGGTTTTTTCCAAAAAATGGCTCTGAAATCACCCCAAATTTTTATTGCATTTTTTGATACATATTGATGTACTTATGCTGTGTAGAAAGTTTGAGGTGATTCCAACTTCAATTTTTTGAGTTACGGCCATTTTTAGAAAAAGCCAAAATTCTGAAAAACACCCAAGGCTATGGCTCAACTCAGTGTTGCACATTAGATTTATTTTATTTTATTTTATTTTATCTTATTCTTTTTGTCCCAACCTAACCTATTTTATTTTATTAATTTTCTCTCTAACTTAAAAAAAAAAAAGGCTATAGCTCGTGGTTTTTTTCAAAAAATGGCTTCGAAATCACCCCAAATTTTTATTACATTTTCTGATACATATTGATGTACTTATTCTGTGTAGAAAGTTTGAGCTGATTCCGACTTCTACTTTTTGAGTTACAGCAATACAATTGATCATTGTTCATCACCATTAATTAGCCTGTAATGTCAATACAGATCATTTGACCATTGAGAGTCTGTATTACAAAACATTATAGTAACTGCAGATTTAATGATTCATTGTATAGATAGTCCACAGTATATTTGCACTATATCTATGTTCACTGTCTTTCTTTTTCCACAGTCTTCCCACTAGCAGAATGATACAACAAGCAGCAACTCTCAATGGTAATCATCATCCTCAGGTATCAGTCAATACAATATAGCTACTGATTCCTCTATCTCTTGTCTGTACAGTATATTCCTCAAGTTGCTGGTGGTGGCTATCAAACTACTTCAAGCTCCAGTCCTTGGCATAGCTATTATGCTACACAGCCCCCAACAGCAGTAGTGGTGAGCCCTTTATATGTACTGTGAATACTGGAAGTCCCTCATCATGATTTATTATGCCCATGTATAGCATTCATGTAGCTGGATGCATGTATAGTTGAGAATTAATGGCCACTGTTAGATTAGGGGGAGTGTAAGAGTCTTTTGGTCTCCAAATTTGCATGATCTAGGTCTCTTGAAATCTTCCATTGTTCTGTCTTTTAAGTCTGTTAGTTGACCTCCAAAAACTTATTCTAGATCTGTCTTCATTGCATTAGATTCAATGACTTTATGTTATTGCCTTATTGGTGATGTTAGCTAATGGTTTGTGGTGTTGTATCCTTCTATACTAGTACTGCCTCAATAGACACTGTATAAGCCACAGGCCACCCCTTCAGACTGGGAGCTCCTTTGGTCTTCCCTCTGGCTCTTTGTCAACTGTTCCATTGTTACTTTGTGATGTCACCACTATAAGACTAGCTGTGATATTGTTATTAGTTACTCCTCAGTTGTGATGTCAATTAATACTTTTACATTAAAATTCATTTGCATGCAAGGTAGTGCTGAGATAGAAAGTACTTTTATAGCCTATGCATGCAGTGTCCCAATTAGCCTCAGCATTACTTGTACATGTAGTTATTTTCTACTTTCTGACATGCATATACAACTTGAGACTGCAGTGTAGAACAATGCCACTATTCCTTTTAGTTAATCCAGTAACTATTGTCTTTATACATATACCTGTATTAATGATTGAGCCTATTGCCCCATATACAGGAGTCATTCCTCCTTTCAGATAGTGTAATGCAGTAAATGAAGGATATATATCAATGATTTCTTAATAATTCTTTATATTTTAGTAG